AGAGAGAGAGAGAGAGAGAGAGAGAGAGAGAGAGAGAGAGAGATTTACATGCTTACAACATGGCAAGAAGTGTTGTTATTGAAGGAACAATCACACATCACAGTGCTCTGAAAGCCTTTCCTATCATCAGAAACATTCCAACTCCCTTTTCCACTGCAAGGATCCACTCCAAAGTCCCAATCTTTCTTCCCAATCTTGCTCCCTATCTCCTTCAGTGCCTTCACTGCACACAATTCAAACAATCAACTTCACCAATCAGAAAAAAAAAAAACAAGCAAAGAACATTCTAATGAATCTTAAGGTCCCACATATGTGCTCATGCTTATCAAGCTTGTGCTATGATGAAACAAAACAGCCAATCCATGTTTTTTTTCTTTCATGTGCATAGATCCAAACAAAAGAACTGAGTGAGGCAATACAACTTTTGTCTATGCCTCATTTGGAAACTCTGTTCCAAAAAACATGGAAAATCAGTAGCAAGGATTATTGTAAACAAATGTTCTAAAGCAAGAAAGCACTGATCTGAAACTGAAACAAAGACAAAAAGTGTGTGAGCAGCAATGAGTAGAGGAATGAGTTTTACTCTCTTGATTGTTGAGCTTGGGAGTGGCAGCAGAAGCCCAGTGTGAGAGGAAAATCAATGAAGTTGAAGCAAGGAAGAGTAAACAGAAGACCCTGGAATATCCCAAATTGGGCTCCATGAATGTGCTTTCACCTTTTGGAGAGTGATAGCGTGTGAGTCAGAGACTATAGCATGAGATGAGGATAGAGGGTGGATTGCATCAATGGTGATGTTGTTGCTAGCTACCGTAATCTGTTTGGGAGCATGTGACAAAAAAAATTCTTTTGCCAAACCCAATGAGTATTTATACAGTGATTTGCTAAGTTATTCTGAGTGTGTGTGAACACCTTACAAAATGCCAACTTGGTGTGAAATAGGTGAGAAAAGACCCAAACTTTAATCTAGCTTTGATTTCACTTATATTTAAAAAGACCACCTTAGAACTAGTTTGAGTGGATAAATTAAACAATTTAATGATTATGTTATAACATTTTCACTTTGTTAACTAATTTGAAATATGATTTTTAAAGTAGAAAGTCATAAGTTTATTTTTATAATGATGATTC